GGGGGGTGGGCACTGGGGACATCGGGGACGCCTGGAGGTGGGGGGAGGGGACCCCCAGGCTGGGGCAGAGCTGGGGGCTGCGGGGGAGGGGACCCGCGGGGTGCACGGAGGGGTCCCCCCGTGTCCCTCAGGAGGGTCCTGGGTGCCCCCAACAGGAGGGATGCCACACGTGCCCCAAGGGGCGTCCCTGGGTGTCCCCAAGAGAGTCCTGCGTGTCCTCAGAGAGAGGGGTCCCTGGTGTCCCCCAGGAGGGTCCCCCGTGTCCCCTCGGGGGGGTCATGGGCGTCCCTAGAGAGATGGGTCCCCCGTGTCCCCCAGGAGGGTCCCCCGTGTCCCCTGGGGGGTCCTGCGTGTCCTCGAGGAGAAGGATCCTTCGTGTCCCCCGTGAGAGTCTTGCTTGTCCCCAAGAAGGTCTCACGCATCTGCCAGGTCCTTCCCGCCCCCGCGGCTGTCCCCCGCGTCCCCGAGGAGAGCGCTGGCACGCGTGGCCCCGAGGGAGGGTGTCCCTGGTTGTCCCCAGGTCCCCCCTCCCCGGGCCCTGATGCCGTCGCCCCGGCCAGGTGATGTTCTGCACCCTCAACACGCACAAGGTGGACATGGAGAAGCTGTTGGGTGGCCAGATCGGCCTGGAGGACTTCATCTTCGCCCACACCAAGGGCCAGCGCAAGGAGGTCGAGGTCTTCAAGTCGGAGGAGGCCTTGGGCCTCACCATCACTGACAACGGCGCCGGCTACGCCTTCATCAAGGTGACACCCCGGGGTGGGGACGTCGTCACCGGGCGGGGAGACCTGGGGGTGCTCGGAGAGGGCGCTGAGCCACCCTGGGGTTGTGGGGGGGACACGGGGACATCCTGGGTGGTGGCCAGGTCAGCGTGGGGATGGAGGACACCAAGGGACATCGTGGGTTATCACGGGGGGACGTGGAGGCTCCTGGGTGGTTCCTGAGCTGCCCTGGGGTTGAAGGGGACATCTCTGACCGCTGGGGGGGGGGGACATGGGGAACCCTTGGGTGGTCCCTGAGCTGCCGTGGGGCTGGGTGGGGACATGGGGACATCTCAGAAGGTTCCCGAGTCAACGTGGGGATGGGAAGGAGAACGCGGTGGGGTGTGCTGGGTTATCGTGGAGGGACGTGGGGACTCCTGGGTGGTCCCCGAGCCGCCCTGGAGCGGGGTGGGACCTGGGGGGGCCCCGTGGTGACCCCCGGATGGTCCCCACAGCGGATCCGGGAGGGCAGCGTCATCGACCGGATCCCGGTGATCAGCGTGGGGGACATGATCGAGGCCATCGACGGGCAGAGCCTGGTGGGCGCCCGTCACTACGAGGTGGCCAAGATGCTGAAGGAGCTGCCCCGGGGACGCACCTTCGCCCTCCAGCTCACCGAGCCCCGCAAGGCCTTTGGTGAGCCCCAACTGGGAGCACTGGGAGCCTACTGAGAGCCCACCGGGAGCCTGGGGAGGGGTCTGTCCCCTACGGGCACCCCCCAGGGCAGCCACGCCCCCGTGGGGTTGGGGGGACCCAAGCCTTCGGGGCTTTGCTGTTCCCCGTTCTGGACTAGAGAGTGGTGCCCTGGATTACTGGGAGCACTGGGAACCCCACCAGTAAGGGGACACGCACCCAGGTGTCTGGCGATATTGGGGTCCCTCCCAGGGCGGGGACAGCCCCACGGCTCGGACCCCCAAAACCTGAGGAGGTGGAGGAGGCACCAAAATGTAGGGGGACCCCGTAGCTCTGAGGGGATCCCTGAGATCCAAGGGGGGGCTGGTGCACAGGTCCCTGGGGGGACCCCAAAACCTGGGGGGGGGCTGATGGGGACCCATAGTGCTGGGGGGGTCATGGGGGGGCGCCCAAAACCCAAAACGGGGGGCTGTGTGCCTGGGGAGTGGCAGAGAGGATGCCCCA